TGATGGTGATGATGTTGTTGATGATGATGATGATGGTGGTGATGGTGCTGGTGCTGGTGATGGTGATGATGATGGTGATGGTGATGGTGATGGTGATGGTGATGGTGATGGTGATGGTGATGGTGGTGATGGTAGTGGTGGTGGTGGTGATGGTGATGGTGATGGTGATGGTGGTGATGGTGGTGGTGGTGGTGGTGGTGGCAGTGGTGGCAGTGGTTGTGGTGTCGGTGGCGGTGTTGATCGTGTTGGTGTCGTTGGTCTTGTGAACACTGTTCTTCCGGTTGGGGAGCTGTTGCTACTTGAGGCTAGCAGCGACTAGCAGGGAAGTAGGAGCTAGTGGCGAGTAGTTTGTGCCTAGTGTTTTGTAGTCAGAGGTTACTGGTTGGTGATTAGTTGTAAGCATCAAGTGGCAAGTAGAGAGGTAGTAAGCAGAAAGTCGCAGGTAGTCCAAGTAGTTAGGTAGTCGGACCACGTGTTGACTTTGATAACTACGAAGCCTCTACTACATTCGGAAGGCCCTCAAACCCTGTAAGCATGGTTTCGGCTGGGCTCCTTTTTGCCAACCCTGCTGTATCGCTGACTGCAACCCCGCATTTATTCCTGGTAACTCTGCGACCCTCAAACACCAAGGCTTTCCCAAGAGCCAAGACAACAAAAGTCAGGAAACAATGGTGGCAAGTTCCTCTTCGAAGTCGAGTATCAGAATCCCTCCGAGGATCGCGGCCGGTCATTCTCTAAGCACACTATAGGGGCCGATATAAGAAGGTTTCTACATATCGGGTTTAGGGCCTTCTGAAACCAAGAAGCTACCAGAGGATCTATTCTTGCAGTTTCCCGGCAGTTTATTGTTTTGTTTTGCGGATACTGTTTCCGTTCAAGTTTCGTGCTACCTATAATTCTGCCATGAATCCTTAACATACGGGAACTGCCGCGCAGGTGTCTGCCACCCACATGATGTGGATCATTGGAACCGATGTGTGGCATGAGCGGATAATGTTGAATGCTTTTTGGCGGATTTGAAAGACCGATATCCTTTACTCGACACGGCTGGGAAGATCCTAAATCCACAATCCTGAGAATGGTCTTACCTGTAAATCTAGAACACGAGTCGATATTAGACCTCCTTCTGGTCTTATAATATACTCTACGATACTATTGACCATCTATTACATGCTATATACTCTATACTCTATACTGATACCCTATACTCTACAAACTATACCCTTTACGCTATACTCTATACTCTATACTCCAAACTCTTTATCTTATCCGCTATACTCTGTACTCTATACTCTTTACTATATACTATGCTGTACTAAACTAGACTGTACTATACTATACTACTACAACCTGCCAATCTTCTATACAACATATAGTATATTTATGCATACGATCATATACGTAGTAGGCTATGCAACAGTCTGATATACCCCTAAAATCTAAACCCTATACCCTCAGCCCTAAAACCCTAAAACCCTAAACTCTAAACCCTAAAACCCTAAACCCTACACCTTAGCATAGACATGGCAAGGGTTTCCCGATAACCGGCTACCTGAAGGGAACCCCAAACATTTTCGAATTGCAGTTGGGCCGGGGAGGACCTCCACACTCGTCTCTTCGCGAAGATTCCTCATTCCATGGAGATGGCAGCAGCCTCTGGAAGAGGGTATATGGGAGTTTCCGAAGATAGGGGGTACCATATTTTGGGATCCTTATAATAAGGATCCTATTATTTAGGGTACTATATTCGGGCCCCCTATTTTCGGAAACCCCCATATGGTGTGGGGATGTATGGGGTTTAGGGTTGAGGTTTTAGGGTTCAGGTTTGAGGGGTTTAGGGCTTAAGGTTTAAGGTTTAGGGTTTAGGGAAGGTTCAGGGCACCGGGGATGGTTCGGGGTGTAAGGGGTTCATGTCGTGTAGCATCCTCAGAAGTCTCGATTGCTTCGGGCCATGGCCTCTAGAGGTGACGGTTTGGGGGGGCTCAATGGGGGTATTTTCGAACCTGGCATCTGCATGAACACGACGTGTCCTTTCTACAGCTGGCCATGCCAAACCGAATTCTTGGACGTAACACGACTTTCCTGCTCGAACATCGGAATCTGTGAAGACACGATGAAGGCAGCTGAAGCGGATAACTAAAAGTTGGAAAAACGCCTAAATGTGCTCCTTCGGCAGAACTGGAAACTCTCTCGTCACGAAGCCCTGAAGAGACAGACGCTAACAGGTACCATAACAGACAAAGAACTTCACACGAAGCACACCCCAGAAGCCAAAGGCGACGCAGTCCGATCGCCTTAGCTCCTCTGTGAATAAGCAGCCGATGGAGTTTTACGAGCCCCTTCGGTTGCATTCAGGATGCGGCTTCGCGTGTAGCTTGCACATTTGCAATTCGTTATCTTGGGATTTAATACTATAGGGCCGTTAATAATTAAAACAGGGTTTGGGGGTATAATATACTTCAGTCATAATAAGGAACCCCCAACACCCTATTCTAATTCTTAAGGCCCCTAAACCCTAAACCCTAAACACTAAACCCTAAACCCTAAACCCGAAGCCGTAAAACTTCTCAGCTGAAGCTTGCATGTGAGCCCTTGTTGAGGCATCGTGAGGTAGGCGCGAGAAGCCCATGCACTGGGGCATCCCACAGTTCTCTGGGTTGAGATGTAGTACTTGGAGGTTCATGGGTAGTTCTAAGTAGGGTTATAAGTCCCCTAATATGGGTTATAAGTATAGTTACCCTTCTTATAACCCCACTTATAACTACCCGTGAACCTGCAAGTATAGGGGCCGTAATAATTACCTCTACTATTTTGGGGTTCCTTAATATAGGGGCCGTGATAGTTACCTATTCTCTTTTGGTGTTTTTTAGTATAGGGGCCGTAATAATTACCTATACTATTTTGGGGGTTCCTTAATATAGGGCCGTGATAATTACCTATACTATTTTTGAGGTCAACACCCTATTCTAATTATAAAGGCCCCTCCTATATTAGGGGAAAGGAATTCACGATGTTCGGCTTGTGGCATCGGGCTTGGTGTCTTAGGTTTGGACTTCACGGCCTGGGATCGGGGTCGGGGTATGGCCGGCTTCACCAAAAATTCGACAAGGCATGCTGCTATTCTTGGGTGCCCAACACACCACCTGTGAAGACCAGGTCCGGTTTGGTACGGCTTGATTGGCTCAACCCTTAGCCTAGTCCCGAAACCCCAATACCAAGAAACCCAGGCCCTAAACCCCTAATGCCAACACCCTAAACCCAAGGGCTTTTGAGGGATAAGGGTTTAGGGTTTAGGGTGGCTCTAGACCCTCCATACACTCAATGTGTAGTCTCTGGACTGGGGTGCCTTTTAGGATCTTTGTTTTACGGGTCCGGCCTCCTTCTGGGTTCCCAAAAAAGGGTCCCTAATGTAGAGACCTAAACCCTAAACCTAAACCCTAAACCCTAAGCCCTAAACCCAATAAAAGCGACCCCAATGTAGAGAACTACCTGCATACCCTCCGCGCTCGAGGCTCAACTCTTCGCGCCTTTTGGAGGCCGAGCTTCCTGTGAAGATCCCGAGGTCCGGGGCCCAAAATCGTGCAACAAAACTGGGCTTTACCCATAGGCCCCATAGTAGTCCCTTTTGGGGGTTCATATATAGAATCCTATAGGGCAATCCCAAAAAGGAACTACTATGCATTAGGGGTTACGGTTTGGGAAAGTTTGGGATTTAGGGTTAGTTCAGGGTTTAGGATTCAGGGTTTCAAGTTTACGGTTCAGGAGGTTTCGGATTTGGGATGTACGGCTTGAGGGCTAAAGGATGGGTTTAGGGTTCTCAAGGCTGTCATAGGGTTTTATAAGGGTCTCGTTGGGCTTCTGAGGGTTTTCAGGAACTGAAAGGGTTCCTGAAATTAGAAAGGGGTTTCCACAACGGGAATCCGGGCGGCAGGTTCTGGATCTTAAGGGATGGTGCCGAGAAGTACGAGCCCACTCTTGCGCCGCAAGAAGCAGAAGGGGCCGGAAGGGCAGTCCTAAACCCTAAACCCTAAACCCTAAGGTTTAGGGTTTAGGGTTTAGGGTTTAGCCAAGTGGCTGCAGAAGTCTTGCACTTTGCGGCCGAGTCGTTCTTGACGACATTCAAGGATGGTGCAAGGCTAGTTATAAGTGGGGTTATATATAAGGGGTTCCTTTAAGGGTTCCTTTAACGGGTTCTACAGGGTTTAGGGTCTAGGGTTTGGAGGTGCAAGGGTAGTTATAAGTGGGGTTATAAGTAGGGTAACTATACTTATAACCCATATTAGGGGACTTATAACCCTACTTAGAACTACCCATGAAGCTCCAAGTACACGGATGGTGCAAGGGATGATGACTTGCAGGATGGTAGAGAAGAAGGGGACACTACGCCCCGAGCACACGGCCCTGGTTGATCAAATTTGAGAGAGTGGAAGAGGGTTAGGGGACCAGAGAATTCGTGGCTATGCGGACACTGCGGAGGAAGGCTCGAAAGCAAGCAGCCTGAGGCGACGATTTTGTCCGAGGACAAGGAATCTGAAATTTTGTGGCGGAGGTCGTGACCTGACTGAAAGTTGGATCAGGCTGCCTCCAGCCAGGTGGACTCAGCAACTCGGGCTGGCAAGTATAGTTATGAGCACTGATATCCCTAACTTGGTTAATTACTTGAAGCCTTGATTCCTACATCCCTTGGTTTCAAAGCTAAAGAAGGGACTATCAGGATTCCTTGAAGAGTTCCGGGAACCCAAGCCAGTACCGGGCTACAGGGATCTTATAGGGTCTCGTGCGAGTCCTTGGGGTCTTTAGGGTTTAAGGTTTACGGGGCTATTGCACCAAAGCACTTACATCCCAAACCCGAAACCCTAAACCCTAACTACTAAACCCTAAACCCTACCCCAAACTACTAGACCCAGACGCCAGTACGAACTAAACGCGCCGGAAGACCCACGTCGTGGGCCCGGAAGCCTCCAGTGGTCGAGGTACTACTTCGGTGACATCAGCAATGTGCCCTGGCTCTCGTGACAGAACCCAGGGTGATGAAGAGCTTCAGATCTCGTTCCGGATCCTTTTCCGACTATGTTCCAAATCATGAGGATGATGATGGTGATGGCGATGATGGTAGTGACGCTGGTGGTGATCATGATGACCATGGTGATAGTGATGATGCTGGTGATACGGATAGCCATGGCGACGGCAAGGGAATAATGATACCACCAACACCACCAACGCCACCAACTGCTGCTACTACTACCACCACCACCACTTCCTCTGCTTCCGCTTCTACTTCTACTTCTCCTGCTTCTGCTACTTTTGCTGTTGCTTCTGTTCGTACTGCTACTGCTGCTTCAAGCTTCCATTGGTTTCTTTAGGGAGCCTGCAGCGAGACCATGTGTTCTATCCGCGATGCTGAAGAGCATGAGGATGCCACGTGGAGGTTTCGGGTTCCTAAAGCCCCACAGCTCAATACGCTCCAACTCTTGACCTGCACATCATATAGGGGCCTTGATACTTACCTATACTATTTTAGCGGGTTCTTATTATATCTAAAGTACAATATGCCCCAAAACCCTATTCTAATTATCAAGGCCCCTACATTACACTTCTTCAGTAATACACAGTTGATGTCCATAACAGCCCCCAACCCGAGATTCCAAAAGTAAAACCCTGCTGTCCCATGCCAAAATCGGCTCAAGCCTCCACACTGGAGCCTACATCGAAGCT